TGGGCACCTGTCTGTAACAGTTTGCGGCTTCACAGCCGGATTTCCATTGCACATGTGCGAGTAGCGCTGCACTTCCTGAATGGCCCCATCTTCTTCTGGGACCTGCCATGTGTCCCACAAGACTTCAGGGAGGGAGGGTAGAAGGAAAACTTCCGCTTCCGACCACCTAGGCCAGGGGTGGGCAACTGTTGCCCTCCAGCTGTTGTAGAACTACAAGTCCCATGAGGCATTGCAAAACTGACAGTTACAAGCATGACTCCCAAAGGCAGAGGCATGATGATGTGACGGTGTGCGGCGGCAGACCCTAGCCCTTCTCACTCACCAGCTTGTGACTGAAGGACCAGCCGATCCCAGACTGCGCTGTCACTTGCATAACAATGCCACTCTCAGCTGCACCCTGCACAAAGATTTTCCAGCTCACTGGACCACAGTCTATGTGCCAGCAGCCTGAGAGCGATTGTTACTGGGTCAGGTTAATTACACAATTAACACTTCAAAGTGCCACCACCACCTTTTTACAGAGAATTAGGAAAACTCACAAATCTTAGCAGTGACACTATGATAATAATATAAGCGTCTGTAACACACTGTCACCACAGACAGGGATATTCAGAGGATTATCACATACAGTAGCACTCTCCAGAGACAGGGATTCTTTTAGTTTGCATTAAAAGCTTTAGAGCCAGTTTCAACACTTTTCAGAAAATAGGATATATTACATCACCACATTACTGCAACTGGCAGATTAATATGTAGAATTATATTCCCGAACGTACAGATACTAGACGGTAACATATCCTGCCACGCCAGATAAAAGATATTGTTTTCTACCCTCTTGTAGATGCTACATAGGGATGTAAGGTGTCATGTGACTCGTATTAAAATGTCCTATCGAAATATATACTTATCAATGTGCCCAGTTTCTGCTGAAGTTTATGAGTTTGTATGAAAAATGACTCATGTGGGATGTATGTTTTATGGCCCCTGCTGTCATGCTTACAGGTCGTGACCGACTGAGTTATGGTTTTACGACCGGGCAGAGGAAAGTTTGTCACTCTGGAACCAGGCTAATTAAGGATTGCAACCATGAAGTTTTTTTCAGCTTGTGCCTATGCACTTGTGACCCCCAGTTCACATACAGACCACATTCCATTCAGCAGGGAGGGGGTAGGACGGAGTGTAATGATATTTGCAGGTTATGATACAAAATGGTTGTCAGTGTCCATGTATCTAAGCACACAATTGTCACAGATGGGACTTGTAGTTCACCAACAGCTGGAGGGCCACAGTTACCCACCCCTGGCCTAAGAAATTGCAGTGGGAGAGCGGGTACCTGTCAATTTTAGGTACCCGCTCCCCAAAGGTGCCAATCCTTAATGGGTAGCGGGGATCAGTCTTTTTAAAGCAGAACTTCCCCTTTTGAGCGGCGCCATTTTGCCGAAGAGCGGCCATCTTAACTAATGGTCAGTGCACCCATTTTATCCTTTACTGTCATTTTCTGGATTTAAATAAATTAATTGATTTGACAATACTACACTATGGGCACTTTTCTTATGGCTTCTTTATGGAGCCTTTAAGCCTGCAGGACCTGTGGAGAGCACAAATCTGAACCAGTATCCAGAGGAAGGGAATCCCTGTAAACAGATGGCTGACCCTATCCAAACCTAAAGGGGACCTGTGGAGCTAAGCAGACATCATCCATTGATCGCAGAGCTGCCCATTCCTAGACTGATGTTCCATATACACCTATCACACATCACTACCCTAAGTTCTCGAGGTCGATATATTAATGCGCACTGGCGGACTGACAACTCATGGGGCCCCTGGGGAATGGGGGATCATGGGGGGGCCCCTGTGTCCTTGCCCAAGCTCAAAAAAGCCTATGAAAAAGGTAGCAGGGGCATCTCATGGGGCCCCCGGGGAATGGGGGATCATGGGGGGGCCCCTGTGTCCTTGCCCAAGCTCAAAAAAGCCTATGAAAAAGGTAGCAGGGGCATCTCATGGGGCCCCCGGGGAATGGGGGATCATGGGGGGGCCCCTGTGTCCTTGCCCAAGCTCAAAAAAGCCTATGAAAAAGGTAGCAGGGGCATCTCATGGGGCCCCCGGGGAATGGGGGATCATGGGGGGGGCCCCTGTGTCCTTGCCCAAGCTCAAAAAAGCCTATGAAAAAGGTAGCAGGGGCATCTCATGGGGCCCCCGGGGAATGGGGGATCATGGGGGGGCCCCTGTGTCCTTGCCCAAGCTCAAAAAAAGCCTATGAAAAAGGTAGCAGGGGCATCTCATGGGGCCCCCGGGGAATGGGGGATCATGGGGGGGCCCCTGTGTCCTTGCCCAAGCTCAAAAAAGCCTATGAAAAAGGTAGCAGGGGCATCTCATGGGGCCCCCGGGGAATGGGGGATCATGGGGGGCCCCTGTGTCCTTGCCCAAGCTCAAAAAAGCCTATGAAAAAGGTAGCAGGGGCATCTCATGGGGCCCCCGGGGAATGGGGGATCATGGGGGGGCCCCTGTGTCCTTGCCCAAGCTCAAAAAAGCCTATGAAAAGGTAGCAGGGGCATCTCATGGGGCCCCGGGGAACTGATCAATGGGGGGGGGCCCCTGTGTCCTTGCCCAAGCTCAAAAAAGCCTATGAAAAAGGTAGCAGGGGCATCTCATGGGGCCCCCTGCCCCTGTGTCCTTGCCCAAGCCAAAAAAGCCTATTAAAAAGGTAGCAGGGGCATCTCCATGGGGCCCCCTACTGACCCCGGGCCCTTGGGCAATGCCCGAGTTTCCAAATGGTCAGTCTGCCCCTGTTAACGCGCATAATCCATGCACATCTGGTAAACACGCAATCCTACCATTTTTCCAAAGCACCTTATTGATATTGGCATACTCCTGGATTTATCATATCTAAACAGACTGATCCATATCTAGTTTGTATCGCAATTATATCTTTATTTATCCTAGCGCTGCACTTTATTATTTAATGATTGCTAGGCTGCTCCCCAATCCTTAGTGTGCACCAGATTGTATATAAGATTCGTGTCTGCCAGTGTGTGTGGTCAGCCAGCTGGATTGGATTGGAGTCTCCCTCTAGTGGTGGCCAGAAATAGTGTGGGCTGTGAAAGTGTATCATGGCTGATCTTATATACTTATTTATATTCAGATTAAGTCCCTCTTACCCCAAGTCACGGCCGCATGTGCACGCCTCGGTTAGCTAGTCGCTGTGGGCGTGTGCATGTGTGTTTGGATCCGTGACATATATATATATATATATATATATATATATATATATATATATATATATATATAATTTGTTACATCTTTTCTGTAAATATATTTAATTGCAAACAATTGCACCATTTTTGACTTTTTTTTTTTTTTTTTGTAATAAATCCTATTTTCTGAAAAGTGTTGACACTGTCTCTAAAGCTTTTTAATGCAAACTAAAATATAATCCCTGTCTCTGGAGAGTGCTACTGCATGTATAACCCTCTGAATACATCTGTCTGCGGTGGCAGTGTGTATACAGATGCTTATTTAAATATCATAGTGTTACTGCTAAGATTTGTGAGTTTCCTCCTTCTCTGTAAAAAGGTGGTGGCAGTGTGAAGGGTTAATTGCGTAATTAACCTGACCCAGTAACAATCGCTCTCCGGCTGCTGGCACATAGATTGTGGTCCAGCGAGCTGTAAAATCTTTGTGCAGGGTGAAGCTAAGAGTGGCATTGTTACGCAAGTGACAGCGCAGTCTGGGATCGGCTGGTACTTCTGTCACAAGTTGGTGAGAAGGGCTGGGGGTCTGACACCACGCACCATCACACTGACCCTTACACTATATAATTTATATTGTACATTACATCCTCCTGACCCCTGCACTATACACTATGTTGTACATTACATACTCCTGACCCCTGCACTATACACTCTGTTGTACATTACACACTCTTGACTTCTGCTCTCCACCCACTGCTATATATATATATATATATATTATATATATATATATATATATATATTACACACACATAATATGAATTCTCTTTGGTTACACCCATTTCTCCCAGCTGGACATTTTATATCGGATGATGTGATTGGAGCACAGACTTTTACATGGTGATGATAATGTGATAACATCCTCCAACTTTGGACCCTTAAACAGAAAGTGATAATGAGGGAGGAGTCAATGCCCCAATGATGGTGGTCTTCAGGATCAGTTCAGTCTTCATCTTGGTTGTTCTCCCCCATCCTCACTCTCTGACCTCTGGTGGGGCTCAGCCCCGCTGTTCTTCATGACTAAATCATGGACTAAATAAGGAAGTGCAGTACTTCTTGTGTTGGGAAGATGGCGATGAGTGATAGAGGGGGTGGGGACCCTCGTCCTATAATCCTCATCACTGTCCCTCCTATAAAAGACAGTTCTGGTTGTTTCCTCACTCTCTGACTAAGGTCCATGAATAAAGAAATGACCTGGTAGGAGATCAGAGGAGCCATTTCCTAGTTCTCTTGAGGGTTGAATTGTAAGCTCCTCAGAGACCAAGCTGCCTGATGTGGGTGGAGTCCTGGTTTGGGGGAACCAATCCATTCCTTCTAGTAATCCTCCCTTTTTTTTTTTTTTTTTTTTTTTTTTTTTTTTTTATTTATTTTAGTCCATGGCCGGGAGATGAGGAAAACCTCCGAGGATTGTCTCACTTTGTCTCCAGACTGGAACGTAGAAGATGAGGACATCACACCGTATAATCCAGGAGAAAACCCGGCTCCCTCTAATGTCTATCCGGCACCACCCAGTGTAGATGGACCATCGGATTCCTCGTATCCTGAGGAACCTCCGACTGTGCAGGACTGGGCCGGCCTTGCCACAGGGAAGAGCTTCTCCTGTCCTGAGTGTGGGAAGGGTTTCCATTATAAATCCCATTTAACATCCATAAAAGATCTCACACAGGGAAGAAGCTTTTTTTTCCTGTCCTGAGTGCGGGAAATGTTTTTCATGCGAGTCCCACCTTTCAACACATCAGAGATTTCACACACACGGGTGAAAAGCCATTTTCCTGTCCTGAGTGCGGGAAATGTTTTTCAGTGAAGTCCAGTCTTTACAGACATCAGAGTACTCACAGACGAAGAAGCCGCTCTCCTGTCCTGAGTGAGGGAAATGTTCCTCACTGAAGTCCTGCCTTCCTGTACATCAGGAATCCCACACAACCCTGGAGGTGTATTAGTGCCTTGAGTGCGGGAAATGTCTTCTAGATGAATGTTGCTGGACATCCCAGCTCTCATGTGGGGAAGAAGCACACCCTGATATACACCTCAGATATACTCCATGGCTGATCTTCATCATGGAAGAAACTGTTCATAAGGAGATCAGAGGTCACTAAAGACGTGGATGAAGTGTGGGACAAGGTTGGCCATTGATGGCAGAAGAAAGTGTTTTTTTTAATCAATGGAAGACATTCCAGCAGCTCAGATGTGATCGTAATAACATTGGTTCCCCCATTCACACAGGAGGAATGGACATCAACACTGATTGACTGAATGGACACTGATTGAATTGCTATACAAATGTTCTATGAATAGACCCCCAAATGTCAGGAGACGTTTATATAAAGACGGGAAGTATGGAGCAGAGAAATGAATAGACCTCTCCAGCAATGTTATTACCAGGCTGCAGCTAGGGGGAGCTCTAATGTCACCCCAGCAGAGGGATCCCATCTAGCCCACATTAACCCTCTCACTGCCAGAGCTGTTTCTGCATGATTTTGCACACATGGGAAAATGCAGATTTTGGTCCTGAAGATGAGATAAACCCCCAAACATCTATTCTGTGACATCAGAGGCCCTGGAGAATAAAATGGTGATTGTTAGTGTATTGTACCCCAATAATGACTGCTTTCCCCCACATTCCACACAAGGAATCTTCCTGACCAATCAGATTTCTTTCTTTTACGATTTCCTGATTTTTATGCTTCAATCTTGTTAAATGTAAAATTATAATAAAACATTTATTGAACAAAAACTATTGTGTGTGTCGGTGCAATGACGGCAAATTTCAATATAGAACATTGCTCCTCGGTGACACCTCACACCCTTCAATAATGGCGCAGAGTGCGGGGGTCAGCAGTATATCATATACAGCCCACCATACAGAGTGCAGAGGTGGGCTGTAGTGTCCCCCCCCCCCCCCCCCCCCCCCCCCCGAACCATACCAGGCCACATACCCACAACATGGGGGTCACCTTACAAGTGGGATTCCCCCAGGCACCTTGTCACTGTGGCTGTGGGTATCAGAATCATATTGGATTCTGGAACCCCCCCTTTACTAACAAGGGGCCCCCATATACCGTTCCCCCATGTGAATGAGTATGGGGTATATAGTACCCGACAATAGCACCAGCCCAATGACAGCTCCCTAAACTGTCATCATCTACATAAGTGAAGGGACAGGGATGGTGGGACCTTATTACCCAAATGTGACCAGTGACCATATTTGGTCAGTGATGTCACTGCTATCCCCACCCCCTTCCTTACATGACAGGGATTCCCAATGACATCACTGATTCCTGGGGGTGTGGCCGCTGTACCCATCCATGTCTTCCTCAGGCACCAGTGACAGCGGGAAGCTGTTATATATAGAAGTGGTAGAAATGTCTCTTCTATATGTGATGATCGGCTCCTGCAAAACACGGGACCGGAACAGGCAAAGTTTGGTTTGAACTGTCGTCTCATCCCTACTCTATGACAACTAAACCCAGAGATCATCCCAAGTGGTCATTGTAGTTGTCCCTTAGATGGGTGACCAATGGGAGAAGGACCCCCTTATATCAGTGATCAGTGTAGTGGTTCCTTACATTGGTGACCAATGGGAGAAGGACCCCCTTATATCAGTGGTCAGTGTAGTGGTCCCTTACATTGGTGACTAATGGGAGAAGGACCCCCTTATATCAGTGGTCAGTAGGAGAAGGACATTGTTACATGCCAGTTTGTAGACAGGTGCAGTTTGTCCTCCATCCATAAAGTGGCGCTGTGCAGTTGTACTAATGGAGAGGAATCACTGAAGGAACATTGTTCCCTGAGAGACTCCATAATTGTCTCGGAGGCTGCAGCTGTCTGGTTGCTGCAACTTCTGATGACCTCTGTCAGCCAGAAGTGTTATAAATCCGAAAACGTTCTTCCTCCCCACAGGGACTCTATAAATGAGGGTGTCCATGTTACTATGGGGTTCCTGGAGGAAATGGTGAGGTGGGGGACAGAGACCCCATTGGTTCGGGGGTAGTAACAATGCAGGGAGAGGTTCCTGGTGGAGTAGGGACACCTCTGGTCTTTCTTCAGGCACTCCATCCGGTCAATATTTGGGGATCTCTCTAGCAGAATGCACAGCCCACCACCCCTCCAGCAGACACCGTCCTCTTGTAAATCAGGCCAAGCCTGGAATATGGCCTTCCTGCAATGCTGGGCAGCACCGACTATACTATTGTGCCAATAATGACCGTTCTCCTCTAATTCGATGATCTCCCACACGTGGTTTCCTGGATACGACTTCCTGAAACAACCAATTACATTCACTTCTGTTCATTATATTACATTATATAAGAAACCATATAACTTCCTGGACTGGGTGTGATTTCTCTGAGATCGGAGAGCTCCGCCTACAAGCTGTTACTAGGAGACAGGAATTGTTCATTGCTGAAGGAGCCCCTAGAAACCTTTGGAGGACCCCTGGCTGAGAAAGGCTGGACTAGGCAGTCATATATTTCTGTCCCCCTTGGTGGGAGTGGAGGTGACCCCTCTATAAGGATCTACAGTCCATACACACCCAGCACAAGGCCGGGGTCACACTACCAGACGCTTCTCGGGGCTGCAGTTCTTCTGAGCTCCACAAGGTGGGGATCTCACTTCTATCCAGACAGGAAGTCTATATGGAAGACAGGAAGTGATGTCAGGTACAGACAGGAACTATAGAGATGTTGGTGGAAATGGCAGCAGAGGAGGTAATAAGATGTTATGTTCTATTTACACCCAGTAACCCCCCGTCACATCCGTCCTCTTCCTCCATAGTCACGTCCGTCCTCTTCCTCCATAGTCACGTCCGTCCTCTTCCTCCATAATCACGTCCGTCCTCTTCCTCCATAGTCACGTCCGTCCTCTTCCTCCATAGTCATGTCCGTCCTCTTCCTCCAAAGTCACTGTGACTATGGGAGGGAAATGTCATCTGCAGAACATTTCAAACTCTTCTCTAGATCTGTAAATGTCAGCGATGTGCGATGATTGACACCCCTTTACCCAGGTAATGGGGACTTGTAATCTGACAGATTCACACAGGAATTGTTCATTGCTGAAGGAGCCCCGAGAAACCTTTGGAGGACCCCTGGCTGGGAAAGGCTGGACTAGGCAGTCATATATTTCTGTCCCCCTTGGTGGGAGTGGAGGTGACCCCTTTATAAGGATCTACAGTCCATACACACCCAGCACAAGGCCGGGGTCACACTACCAGACGCTTCTCGGGGCTGCAGTTCCTCTGAGCTCCACATGGTGGGGATCTCACTTCTACCCAGACAGGAAGTCTCTATGGAAGACAGGCAGTGATGTCAGGCACAGACAGGAAGTGATGTCAGGTAAGGACAGGAAGTGATGTCAGGTACAGAGAGGAAGTAGAGAGGAGACATTGGTGGAAGTGGCTGCAGAGGAGGTAATAAGATGTTATGTTCTGTTTAAACCCAGTAACCACCCCCCCTGTCATGTTCTCCCTCTTCCTCCGTAGTCACGTCCGTCCTCTTCCTCCGTAGTCACGTCCGTCCTCTTCCTCCGTAGTCACGTCCGTCCTCTTCCTCCGTAGTCACGTCCGTCCTCTTCCTTCGTAGTCACGTCCGTCCTCTTTCCCCTTAGTCACGTCCGTCCTCTTCCCCATAGTCACGCCCGTCCTCTTCCCCCATAGTCACGCCCGTCCTCTTCCTCCATAGTCACGCCCGTCCTCTTCCTCCATAGTCACGCCCGTCCTCTTCCTCCATAGTCACGCCCGTCCTCTTCCTCCATAGTCACGTCCGTCCTCTTCCTCCATAGTCACGTCCGTCCTCTTCCTCCATAGCCATGTCTGTCCTCTTCCCCCATAGTCATGTCCGTCCTCTTCCTCCATAGTCACATCCATCCTCTTCCTCCATAGTCACGTCCGTCCTTTTCCTCCATAGTCACGTCCGTCCTCTTCCTCCATAGTTATGTCCGTCCTCTTCCTCCATAGTCACTGTGACGTCTTTTATCTCCCCAGATTAACCCCGTATATTCCAATGAGGGAATTTCTGGTCTGTACCAGGAGGGGAGGTATTGGTGTCATGAAATGCCGGTTCCAGACATTGTATGTGGGGGGGAATGAAATGATAAGGAAAGGTTGGGATTCGGGAAGATTTCTTTGCTTGAGGTGATTGTAGCCGTATTAGTGCATTTGCGACAGAAAACAATTGAGTACTGTCTGTGATACTTTTTTTATTTGCACTAACATACAATTTTGAGGACAAGCTTTCAAGGAGTGTCCCCTTCTTCAAGGTACTGCTTAGACCTTGAAGAAGGGGACACTCCCGAAAGCTTGTCCTCAAAATTGTATGTTAGTGCAAATAAAAACAGTATCACAGACAGTACTCAATTGTTTCTGTCTGGGAAGATTTCTGTAAGATTTTACACGGGAATGATCAGCGCCCTCCAGAGACACTATGATGAGTCTCACAATAGGAGTCTGAAAGGAACTGGATTTTGGGGGATGAGATGGTGAACCCAGAGTGGAGGGGGAGGGGCAATTTTATCAAAAAGACGTCCAGATGGGAATCAAAATGGATTTTTCAACTGAATACAATTGTTCGGACTGGACTGAAAATTGATATTGAGCTGGTAGCTTTTTTGAGTCATCAGTTTTATGCATTTTTATAGTGTTTATCATTTTACCAGTTATTGATGATAATAAATGAAGTTTTGTATGAATTTAGTGATATATGATGATATAGAAAATGTTATACGTTATTCTGTGGGTAAGGAATGTGGGGGGGTAGGAGCTCTTTTTCGGACCTCTTCACCTGCCAATAGCCCTCCTGGACCAAGATTGGCGTTTCCCAATCCAAACACATTGGATGTCACCAGGTTAGG